AAAAACATGTTAAAGATAACCAAGAATTAAAAAATATCCACGATTACTTCATTGTTAACAAACTTTCAACATCAACAAATGCAATTTCATGCTGTTTGGATTTCGACACCAAAAGAGGGCTGATGAAACTCCCAATATACTCATTAGCGACCAAATTATACCTCTTGTTAAACATACAAAGTTTCTTGGCGTCGAAATCGATGAGGAATTAAATTTTAAAACTTATATAAAAGAAATTAAAATTTCAAAGAACACTGGTATTGTGTATCGTCTCTCTTCTTTTTTAACTTTCTACATCCTCCGAAATATTTACTGCTCTCTCATTCTTGCATTTATTAGTTATTGTAATATTGTATGGGCGAACAATTACTTAATAAAATATATTTTCTTCAAAAAAAAGCTATTCGCATTACCTCCAACGTGCCTCGATTATCCCATACTGATGCCTTATTTGTAAATCTCAAACTCTCAACTGTCTATGACATTAACACACTCCAGCAATTAATGTATTTTTGTTTTTGAATATATTAATAACAAACTCCCTTCAAACTTCTCTTGTAACTTTTTAACAAATTCTGAAATCCATTCATACAATACTAGATTACTAGGGCTTCCCGTGATTATTGATTGTAATTATTATTGTTTTGGCAGAAAATATATGTCTATGGAGATTTTTGTATGACCGGAAAAAATGCAAGAAAAGAAAGAGGGAAAAAGGAGGAGAGGGAGGGGAAAGAGAGTGTTTACAAAGTCCCCGAACAAATCACATTGGCAGATCTGGGATATCAGGGGTCCTGACTCCCTCCCTCGGGGTTCATTGATCCATGGAATCGTTTTCAAGAGTAGAAACCTTGAATTTTGAAGAACTTAAAAGTCATAAAAAGACACATTAGAAGTCAGGAAAGTTCATTTCCCGCCATCTAGGAATCAACATTTTCCCGGGGGAGAACCCCAAAAATTTAATCCCCCTTTCTCTATGGGGTTTATCGATTCATGGGGAAAAGAACACGTATGCAACTACTCATTTATTTTAATGTATGTATACACACATAACAGGCCTATTACAGTAATAAGAATCAGAAAGTTTACCTGGCCGTTTTCAAGGGGTGGACAAATATTTTAAGTACTTTAAAGCCCTTAAGTTATTAAAAGACACCTATAGCTCAAAGTCAGGTAAGCTCTTTTCCCGCCATCTAGGAGTCACAATTTTCCCCGGATCCCCTTCCTTTTTGGGATTCTTGGGAAAAATTTTGGCGGTATTATAAAAATATTACTACACAATATTATGAAAATAATATGGTGTAGTAAAATATATAGGCCTATATTTAAATACACGTACATATTTATATAAAATATATATATATATATATATATATATATATATATATATATATATATATATATATGTATTAAGTGATACATAAATAATTCAGGTATTGGTACTGGTACTGGTATTGGCATTTATAATGCGCCTCTTCCTTGCGGTTGTAAAGCGCATTTCTTTTCCCTGGTCATTGGGTCTACATGCTAATTGTTGCTGCTGGTAATCAGCGCAGGAGCAGGCAACCCCACCAGGTACCCATTTATACTCCTGGGTGGAGAGAAGCAATGCAGATAAAGTGCCTTGCTCAAGGACACAAGCGAAATGCACAGCGAGGGATTGAAACCCCGACCTCGAGGTAACTTATTCAAATCATAAAACATTAAATTTACTAAACAGTGACTTGGAATGGGACCTATAAAATTTGGAATATCTCATTCAAACGGATTAAGTATGTTGTTGTTGTTGTTGTTGGCTTCAGTGTGTATCAAGGAAACATTTTTAGGCCTACGCTCGCTCAATGTGGTAGCTACTATAGAAACAACACTGGTGACTACCGGGTAACAACGAAACAGCACAGAATCTTACCCCAGACAATTACTTGTAGTTGTTGCTTAATTAATAGGCCTATTATAATACTTTTGAGCAGAAAATATAGTTTTAAGGTAGATTCAGAAGCTACGTTTAGGGTACATAATTATATTTTACAACAGGTCGTTGAAATGGATCTAGGTCAGATTGTCGAAACCCGCTTTGCCGAATACCATTGACGAGTCCACTTTGCCGAAACCCAGTTTGCCGAAAAACCATCATCCCCAGTTTGGCGAAAGCGAGTTTGTCGAACCCCAGTTTGCCGAAAGTCAATTAGAAGCAGTGAAACATTAACAACAGCATAAAATTCACGACACCCTTACCATACTACATCTGTATGAGGTGGTGGCGCCAGTGGAGGTCAGGACACTGCCAAGCAAAACTTTTGACGACTTTTAGAATTTACTATATTAATGATTTTTGTTGTCCTACTTTCTAAATTAAACTTGATTAACGATTCGACTATATCGGCAAAAAAATAATAATTAAATAGGCCTATTAGATAAACTGCATTATAAGCATATTTAAAATAAAGTTTAATTAAGGAAATATGTAGACCTAAAGGAATTAAAAAAATAATAATCTACATTTAAACACACGACGTACCTGTGGCGTTTCCAGTAATTTTCCGACAGGGGGTCCAACATGTCCTAAAATGAGTCCTAATCACCGGGGCCGACAGAGCCTCGGTCATAGCCCGGTAAAACTCCCAGGGTTCTCGGGGAGAGTTTTATAGGGCTTAGTGTGGCCCAATAGTGCTTTTAGACCACAATATTAGGGATTGGCAATCAAATAACGTTATTTGGATAGTCACATTATTATTTTTGGTCCGACGTTCTAGTTGTCGGTCGGATGACGAAGGGGTTTTCAAAAGCACATTATACTGTACTTCTGTACGACGGTGACGGTGACGACAAGATTCGCCAAACTGGGTTTCGGAAAACTGGGTTGTCATGATTTTGGTGAATTGGATTCGGTAATCTGCGTTTCGGAAAAGTGGACATGAACTCTGGAAACTGAATTTCGGCAGACTGGTTTCGACAAATTGGTCGGATACCCAAAGTATAAATATGTCGCCTACAAATTGTAAAGATAATTTTACTGTGTTTTTGTTACATTTTATTTTTATTATCTGTAGGTCGATTAAAACTTAGGCCTGGAGAATAATAATTCCATTGAAGAAACTACGATGATGATACAGACGGTAGGCAATGTTGGACGAGACTAATTGACGAAGGTAATTCCAGTGACTGTATCTAGGCATATGGATTACAGTAAGGCGTTTGATAGCGAAGGCCTACCACACCAGCGTCTTTTATTAAAATTAAAAGCCTATGGTTTCGATGGTTATTTGTTCTCATGGTTGAAAAATTATTTAACCAAAAGAAAAATAGAAGGTTTCCGTCAAAGTCAGCCTCCGCAATTAGTTGCATACCGCAAGGCTCCCATTTAGGCCCAATTTTGTTTATTTATTAACGATCTTCCAAGTATTGTGAACAGAGTAATTTGGTGCAGTCACGGTTGATGATGCTGAGGTTCTTTAACAGGAGTTAATGTGTGGAATGGTGTAAACGTTGGCAACTCCAGTTGAACATCGAAATTTGTAAAATAATTCACTATGGTAACAATAACAACAACTTCCTATGATCATCTTAATGGCACTTTGCTGGAATCCGTGAATAAAGAAAAGGACCTAGGTGTCGTGTTTATTTAGCAACTTAATTTTACTGCACATCCAATCCGTAATCAACAGAGCTATAATGTGACACTTAGGATCATCAATGGATCCTATGGGAAGAGTTTATGATCTTATATGATCTTATACGAGTCATTATAATTCGCCCTTGCTTGGATATGGTTTGCCTTGGTTAGAGATGCTGACAGTATTGAAGGGGTGCGGAGGAAAATGGTTCATGAGTTAGGTCATTCAACGTGTACAAAGACTGAACCATCTTAAATTACCCTCACTACAGTATAGGCGTCGTCGGGCTGACCTCATTTTTTCAAGCTTTCAGAATTATCAAGGGCTGCGATTCCCTGGATAAAAATCTCTTGATGTTTATTAAAAAACGAGAGGTCATTCCTTCAAGGTAGCTAAACCCTGGGCCACCAATAATCTAAAGAGAACATTTTTCTCATATAGTCTCCCTGACATTGCTGAATTCTTGGAAAATCATGATGCTAAGGCGGAACAAATTTTGTAATATATATTCGTCCAGGTTCCGGAATCAATGAGGGAACAAGAGCTATTGTAGTTCAAAATTCTAGTAAGCAAGTAAGTAAGGGCGTGTAATCTATGCCCATCAAACATTAGCCATCCATGGTTTTGACACTGCATTAACAATAAAATGAAATTCCAATTTACAATGATTTTATTTGCAAAACCGTACTATTTGTGGTCATAGGTGTACATAATCCGAGGTATGTGTATTAGTAGGCCTACAGTGTTTAATTACCGTATAATATTCGATGAGAAGGGATGAGGGAGGTGTTTGAGGGGAAGTGTAATTTTTTTTTGTGTTAAATAGATATTATACTCAGTCAAAAAAATTCCCCTTATTTTCACTGTAAATGTGGAATTACAACATATAATTACAGCGTTACTGTGTTTGTGTAATCATAAAGACTTATTTATTCCAACCAATAGGCCTATACTGTGTTGGAGAATCATATTGCTCCCGTTAGATTTGTTTTCACTCATGGGGGAGGGGGGAAGCATTGGAGGAAAACTAAATGCCTCGGGTCGTTTATTTGAGATTAACCATAGCGATATAATATGATATTAACAAAGTCAGCAATTATTTGCATCATCTACTCTAGCCAAAGATCGTATAGCGCCGCTATCGTATAGCGCCGCATAGCGGCGCTATACGATCTTTGCTCTAGCTACTAGCAAAGATACTAGAAATACAAGATAGAGTTCTCCACACAAAAAAAGTGTTCCACCGTGTTCCACCGAAATGCATGGTGGGAATATGAAAAATGGGACGCCCCCTACAGCTGGATCTAAAAAAACTTG